GAGGGAGTTTGGGAGGATAACTATTCTGCAACCTCTCCTCACAACCGAAATGGAAAGTAATTAATTTTCACAAAATGGAAAGTAATCAATTTCCCTAGCCAGACAACAAAGAGGTTTCTTGTCAGAAATCGGTAATTACCAAGAACCCCAGACTGCGTCTAACCCTACACCGGTTTTTGGTCGATGTCCATATAAACGAGCGCCTCGGTTCGTCAGTCAGTTGCAGTACAGTTGAGTTGCCTCGCAGAAGCTGACCGAGAGATTCCACGATTTCCTATCCTCGACTTTGCTTTCCTACCAATAGCAAGTTATACTGACGAACGAAGCTAAGCCAGCACTTAAAAACTAAACCAGTTGACTTAGAAAGACCAGAACTTGCCTAAGAAACATAAAAGTGTCACTCTTCGAAGAAAATGGGTTGGGATAAAAACACACACTCCTGTATATAACAGACGGATAAAAGTTAATTTGTTTCTTTCAACATACTTGAACCTCTTGGGATTTTATTTGCTTCTTTTCTTTACACTTGTGTGATATCACCTCCAGTTTAGACTCATCTTACACTACGACCCAATGTCTGATTGATCTCGTCTACCTAAGATCAAAAGCACAACGTGGGTAGGTTAGATTGTGATCGAAGTAGTTGCTTCGGTAACCAGACATTGGACGGAGCTGGTGTCGAACTGGTTGCATCTGGTGTGAAGCCGTTTGAAATCGACCGACCATCCCACCAAAGGATCCCGCCGGGCAGCGACTACCACCGATCAACTGGGACACAGGTTGGTGGCAGCAACTAAGAGTCAACCCCAAAACGCTGGTAGGAAAAATATCAGTTTCGTGCCGCAACTTGTAGTTGACCAACGGCCGACGACTCAGTGTCACAAAAACCCTTCTTACGATGCCAATAGTTAAAACTGCCGACAATGGTTGAAAGAAGAATTCCAAATAATCAATTTAAAAAAATTAAATAAATTATTTAATAAACAAATAGAATTCCCAGGCAAATTCAGCCAAAAAACTATGAAAAATATAAAAGTATTGCATTTCATCCATTTATTTTTATCCATTTATTTACTTATCTGCGCAGCTTCAATAATATATACTCTAATTATGCTTCTATCTACATTTATTAGATGAAGTATTGTAACTATTTACTCTACTGATATTGTTCCAAAGGAACCAGTAGAGAAGACCGTCGGTTGAAGTAATCCAATAACTTGACCCAGGGAGTTGTGAGTTCAATACAGAGGTGAACAAAAACTTAGAGAGTTGAGTTACTATAGGGAAATAACTGAAGGCATAGCACGTGGAACTAGAACAATCTACTCTAGATTCGGTTCGGAATTTCAAAGTATATCACCTGAAGAAGGTCAAAGCGTACAACAGCTGAAACGTCGGGAATATGACAATAAAGATGAGGACAACAGTCCGAACAATGTAAATAGTGTAAATGTAATTATACTTACATGATTTAAAATATTACAATATTATAGATATGACTAAAATCCTAAAAAAAAAAACCCCAAAAAACTTATGAAATTCGTCTAAGGCTTGTAATTGCTGGATAGTAAGACTGTAAGGAAAACATTGGAAACAAAGGATTGAATGAAGAAGTGTTTAATCACATGAGAACATGGATTGGGAATACAGCAGTTCAGTGCAACAATCGCTATTGCTTTGCGGCCCAATTTTAAGCTTGGTACGTACAATACACAAAGGGCGTTCGAGATTTAGGGAGTTCATAACAGAAGTAGAACGATGTGACGTTTGAGATGCAATCAATTATTATTTTTTAATTAAATTTCACTCAGTATATGTTTTGAGAATCATTCATAGTAGAGAATTTCAGTCGAAATGGGGACAACGTGTGTTGTATGAATGGAAGAGAAGGTAATAGGATATTAGAATTATGAGGATACAAAGGGAAGAAGACAATTGAAATATTCAGGAAAGCACCTACGCGCGAGTCTGTTTCACAAAATAGCGGTTCCTGGGAAAATTTATATGAATGGAAATTTTCTTCTTACATTCGGAACCCGAAGGAAATGAGTGTGGTTTGACTCCGTGGAAGTGGCCTGGCGTGTCCTCACTGTAAAGGTTTAAACTGTTGAACTTAAAGAATGAAGCACATCTGAACCCTTTTTTTTATAGACAAGATTCTGGTGAGAAAAATTATTTAGCTCGACACAGAGAAACAACTTTCCTAGCTGTAGATTTAGCAATTGATTCAATATAATTTTTCCACTTCATGTCAGCAGAAAACATTAGTCTGAGAAGGCGTAAGGAGTCACTTTCCTGGAGTGACTGAATTTGCGATGCAAAGAACAATAGGGTAGCTCCATGCCTGCAACGTTGCATCTGTGGGAAAGAGGTTGCAGTTGCTGGGGGTGGGTGATAAGTAACTACCCACATGGCAACGTAAATGATTTGGGATTCTACCAAGACTTGAAAGCGAGGATTGAGCACTCTCAGTCCAGTTGGGGCAGAAATTTTAGGTCTCATTTGACACTTGTAAAGGAGAAGGAGCCAGGTACTTCTTGGAACGATAGAATGAACTGATCATTTTCCCAGTATATTCAGCAGTGGATTGTGTATTTTTTTCTAAAAGAATGATTTTCTAACTAAAGTAAAAAGAGCTCATTAAGTTAGTAGTTAGGCTAGTTGTAAAAATTCATGATACCAGATTGAGTTGAATAGGCTCTTGTGCTATGTGTATCATATTTACCTGTTGAATTTTTCTATGTCTTTTTTCTTTTCATGGTAGTTGGATTTTTCTAGGCATTCATCCCAACATTGTTGTATTGAATTTTCTTCCTGTGGTTGGCGATAATAGGTTGTTTGTCCCTTCTGGTATAAATTGATAGATCGTATCTTTAAAACAAAGAAAGAAAGAAATAATTTAAAAAAAAGAAGGAACAATTAGTCATGAATTGCATTTGCAAATAAATCGGCAAAAAGTTACTTCGAGCTGTATATACTCCAAAAACGTTGCGTTTCCACCTCATCTATCTATCTATCTATCTATCTATCTATCTATCTATCTATCTATCTATCTATCTATCTAAGGCTTACGGTCACATCACGTTGAAACATCGCTTCCAGTACGATCACCTGAGGTATTCAGCAACTTGATAAAAGGATAAAGCAGATAACCCGAACGAGCTGCTTCGACGCCGCTGTTTCTTAGTCACTGCTTGAGCTATGACTAATGTGTGTCAAGAGCAATGCCCAACTCCCACCGCTTTCCTGGCACGTAAAATACTCGTTTGCATATCAGTGATCACTTCTTCCCACGCGACATAAAAAACGGCAATGACTTTTTGGTTACCTCATAGATAGATAGATAGATACCATTTAGTTTTCAACAGATGGGCTGGGACGATTATTTCTTTTTTGGAAAAAATCCATTCGGAACATCATTATTCCAACCACTCCTTTTATTAAATATTCAAATGGAATCCTTTGTCCTAGAATACTCGCTGTCTAAACTAAGGGTTGCGGATAAATTTCCTGTAAAGTGAATAAAAGGACTGCTTGTAATAAGGGTGTCTCGGATTTTTCTTCAAAAACAGTAATCGTCCCAAACCGTCTATTGAAACTCAAGGGAATCTATCGATCTAAAATGGGTGCTGATAGGTTATTGGGTCGAATCAAGAAAGTTGTTTGATCTGAATTAGGTGAGTGGGGTGGATCAAGGATTTTTAAGCCCAACCTAAGTTCATACATCAGTTTTTCATGTCGATTTATTGCCGATATTCTTCCTATATGTCTCTCCGTCCATTCGTATCTATCTATCTATCTATCTATCTATCTATCTATCTATCTATCTATCTATCTATCTATCTATCTATCTATCTATTTATACTGGGTGCGATGGATAAATTGTCGTCTAAAAATACGCAAAAATGAAAATAATACTGACATTTCATTTTTACAGATATATTTTCCAAAATTACACAAAAATATCTTGAAATACTAACGAGAAAATTTATTCAATAAAGTCGCCAATGGTTTCAATCACGACCTCCAGGCGACTTCGGAATCTCCTGAAACTCTTTTGGACAGGCTTCTTGTTTAATTTGTGAATGCTGTCATAATCCATGTCTTCAGTTTATCTTTAGTGTTACAAAGAGTTTTGTTGGTCTCTCGCTCAACTGCGCTCCACGCATAATAATCAAGGGGTTTGCTACCTGGGGAGTTAGGTGTCCAGATGTAAGGGGTGATGCGGTCGAAGAAATTGTCTGATAGCCATGACTAGGTTCTCTTGCTTGTGTGGCATGGTGCAGAGTTCTGTTGTGAGACATAAGGTCTTCCAGTAGTTACCCTCTTGACCCAGGGCAGCACTAACCCCTCTAGGCACTTGAGGTACGCCTCAGTATTGAGTCTGAGGTCCTCACCAAGAAATTCAGGAGTCCTTTTCTTATCAGAACAATCAGAGTGATTTTGCCGAGTTGCCTTACCTTCGTAATCACCACTAGACTCATCCAACTCTTTCCGAATCCTTTGCACTATCCTTGGATTGACACCCGAAAACTCTGAAATGTTCGTATTGGAGCTTACGGCGCGAATGCCAAGCAGTACAGCATGCCGTTTCTAAATTTCTGGTGGAATGAATTGCGTCACAGTGCTCTTTTTCTCACAGATGATGCTCAAATGACCCTACTATACTGGGTAGTCAACAAAATCAAAAACAAACAATGAACATGCACGAAATAAAAAAAATGGCGACAATTTACCCATTGCACCAAGTATCTATCTATCTATCTATCTATCTAGCTAGCTAGCTAGCTAGTTAGCTAGCTAGTTAGTTAGCTAGCTACTTTAATTTAAAAACCGTGTTATCAGATATACGCTGAGTTATTGCTTTTATAAAGACAAGAGCTGCTCTCAACAAAAGAAAACATGTTAATTATGCGATACGTAAATAATTCATAAAATTTTCACGTATAAGTGAAAAGAAAAAGTGAGTATTTTCGCCACGAATATTTCAAGACATGGCTTTAAAAAAGAAGAAGAAGAAAAATACACAATACAATGTCGAAGAAACTCACTTCTTTTTCAGTTTTTCCCAAAATCCTGGATATTTCTTCAATCCAAGTTTCACACGCAAGCATTGATTGAGGAGCACCAAAACCTCGGAATGCCGTATTGGAAGGAATGTTAGTCTTACATATTCTTCCAATTATATGCACGTTAGGGATTTTATAGGCATTATCACAATGAAATATGGCCCTGTCCAGCACCTGAAAAGAGAGAATATATTCATATACGTTAGTAAGTATGAAAAAGATGGCGTCACCATGGTGATCATATTTTAGTTGGGTTGTTTAGTCACCATCCTTTCGTCTAGTACAGTGGTTCTTAAACTTTAATTTTACCAATGGAATATTTTTACTCTTCATTTTTTTGTGGACCCCCCCCCATAAGAATTCGATGAAAAAAATGCTTATTTTATTTTTCTACTAATAGATAAGTTTACGAATTATAGAAATAGTAAATATATATGCTTTGTTTTGAAGTAAAACTAATTTAATGAAAATAAATTTGTATTTAACAAATAAATTATATGGAACATTTATGTACAATAGTAAATAATTAATAATAAATCATTTGATGTTTTTATTGATAATACAAAACTTAATAATCGCCATAAATAGACAAAATTTATTTTTATTACCACTCATGATAACAATTAAAAGGAAAAATGAAAAGCAAGCTAGCTAACCAGATTCGAACCTCACTCAACAGAGCTAAATCAAAGTTAATAAAGGTGTAATCATCAATAAAAAAGATGGACAATATGTAGAGGGAAAAATATTTTTAAATGGAAATTAATTGGAAGCCCAGAACACAATCTTTCTGTTTACATAATGGATCTTTCAATATATATGGTCTCCAATATTTTCAAGTTGTAATTTGAGTGTGACTTACTGAGGACGGGAAACGAGAAAAGAAACTCTCTCTCTCTATATATATATATATATATATATATATATATATATATATATATATATATATATATATATATATATATATATATATATATATATATATATATATCAAGAATTCTCTCAAACATGTTTTGTTAAATTATATGGACAAGTTTTGTCTAGCAATTTTTTTTATTAAATCTTTGAAATTTCCAAATAAGTCGTTTTGTGTTGGCGGTAAATTTGCCAAAATTTATATTATTTTTTAATTTATATTATCTTTTTCCCAAATACATTTGAATGTTGCTACATTTGTTTTCAAGGAATTAGTATTCTGTGCGTAGTTACGCAACTAGTTTTTAATTTTGGCGTTCAGACTTTTAATGGAACCAATTTTAAGTGACTCAAGGTGACGTCATATAAAAGATCAAACTGAAACTTTTGTGTGCGTTTTTTTTTTTTTTTTTTTTATAAATAAAACACACTTCCATATACCGACTCCTATGAAGAGATACATTTTTTTTACTATTGGCTGCGTCTATTTTATTAAAACAGCCTCCACAATTTGGACTCTCCCTTTGCACTGTGTCATGTATAAAATTATGGTGTTAGCTACTAAAATTTGTCTAATGTTAATATCATTTTGATTATTTGTCATATGTTTATCTATATGCTCCCAAATAGCACTACATTTTAACAAATGACAACCTACGAGCGATTGGTGTGTTGCATATGTGGTCAATGCATATGTGGTCAATACATATGTGGCCAATGCATATGTGGCCAATGTAAGAATTTATTTTCTTGATATAGGAACACATGAAGGAATAATAAATCATCTCATTTAACGAAAGTCCAACTTAAGTGTGGTCCCACTTAACTGGAGAAATTAAAAGAGGTTTAATACAACAAAACACGAAGCAATAATAACTTGTTCCACCGAAACGGTGTTACCTCCCCTGGCAGGGTAATGCACGTGCTTTCACACGTTGTATGTAGAAAAACAAATAGATGCTTACCCCCTCGGATATGTCGAGTGAGTTTCCTCCATTAGAATATAATTTTATTTCGAGTACTTTGATCTTTCCTGAATTGTCGAATCCAACCTGTCATCAATAAATTAAAAAAAAGATTAAAATTCAGAATCGAAACAAAACCGACGCAGCAACGGTCTTAGAAAAGAGAATAAAAATTACCATATTTACAAAACAGTTTTTTTAAGCCTAAATATGGACTGTATGTTGTCATGGATAACGGCTCGGGATGAGAAATCAGATAATGACAAACCTTCATTTGACAACGGGTTCATCTATATGATGAAGGTATATAGGGTGTAGTCAGCTTCCAATTAAGAGGATTTGGGACCCTTCAACACCACCTTTTTTCCTGGTGAGAAACTTGGAAAATCGGACGTGCGAGTGTTGTAATGGATATCAGCTCGGAATAAAGATTCCGACAGATGGGTTCAAATTCCAATCTGGTTCGCTGCACTTACTTGTTATCAAATATCATTGAGAAATGTATGAATCAATCTCTTCTTCCAACAGCAAGACATACTGGAGCTCTATAACATTGGCTGGCAACAAGTCTACCGCAGAAAAAGAAAAAAAAAAACGGCAGTCTACCGCGAGAAGTCTTCTGCTTAGTTATGAATCGAAAGAGACATGATCGCCCAAACGCGTATCACGTATGACATTTTACACAGTTGAATATTATATGCTTTTAAAAAAATGTTGGCATAAATTACATAGTTTAATCTTTGCTTAAAAAAGGAAAAAAATATATACAAAGAAAGTAAGGCAAACAGGGACTTTCATGCCCGCATAAAACGGTGTGTTAAAAGGATGTTTTTTTCCTATGGCACCACTTTATTTTAACTACCTTCACTCATCAGCAACGTTTATTGTTTTTTTTTTAAACGATGATCAAAATTGTAATAAAAGCTTAACATATGAGAATTGACAACAAAATAATAAAAACTATTCATTTATTAGATTGTTTATTTACACTATTTATTTATTATTGATTGTTTATTGTAATGGTTGGTAAAACATCGGCTAATTGACAATTGATTCGAACTTTATAAAATGGTAAATAATAAGGATTCCTTTATAGTTGGTTCACATGTTTAGTGAATGTTTATAAATTTATGAATGAAAATAGTTTTCATATTTATTTCTGCATAAATTGGTAAATGTTAAATATTGCATTGCATTAGTTTTAATTGTATTAGTTTTTGAAATATAAATATAAAATTATTCTTGCATATGAACAATCTAATAAATAAATAATGCTTAATATATATGTTGTAAATTCTCAAGAACAAAATAAAAAAAAAAGTATAAATTCATTTTCATCATATGCTTAGGATTAAAATTCTAGCCGACGCTTTTTAAAACAATAAATATGGCCAAGGAGTGAAGGTAGTTAAGAAAAAGGTTTTATGGGGAAAATTGTCCTTTTGACACTCCGCAGATAAAAAGCTATTATTCTTTCTTAAAACTCTTTTTTGTTGTTTTTGAATATATTTATCGGCGTATAAAACGCATATATGATTTAAAAAATAATTTAGGATAAACTTGATAATATTCAACTGATGATACATCTATACGTATATATTTTTTGCTATATTTTTAAAAATATTATTTTAATTTGTAATCAAAACTTAATAATTTATAATCCATATATACGTGGAGGCACTGAAAAATTCTTGGTTCGGCTAAGAAGAGATTCCTTTCCAACAAAAGTTCTGATGCTTGGTCAGTTTTTTCAAAGGGTTGTCAACAAAAAGATAAGCCTAGCATGCGAATTACAAATTGGAGATACCAAAATCGAGAAACAATTTAAATATCTAGGTGGGGTTTTAACAGAGGACGGAAAATGTGGCACCGAAATTTGAAGCTAAGCAAAGTATTAAGAAACAGGAAAATGTCGTTAGAAACAAAGAAATGAGTACAAAACTGTAACGTAATATAGGTCCTCCTATATGGCAGTGAATGTTGAACAATTTCCTCACAGATGAAGAAGAGACTTGAGAACAGAAATATTCTTCTACAGAAGGATGCTGAGAAAACTAGGGACTTAAGATGTAAGCAATGAAGAAATTTTAGAGAAAATGGAAACGAAAATGACATTTATATTTAGAATCGGAAAGAGACTGTTGGAATTTTTAGGACACACGAGGAAAGAGGGCTTGGAAAATCTGACATTCACAGGACATAATGAAGGCAAGAGAGGCAGAGGAAAGCAGCACATAACCTATCTAACGCGTTTGTGTAAATGGTTGGCAGGACAGGGATTAGGAGAGATAAAACAACTATGATTAAATTTACTATGATTAAAAAGAACAGGAAATTGTGGAGAGCCTTGATCGTCCACGTTCTTAAGGGATGCAGTACATAAAAGAAGATGCGATGAACCCAAATCTATTCATTTTTAATTCTGGAGTCATCAGAAAACAAGTGTGTCAAAGGTGTCAGCATTGTGTTGCACTTGGACAACCAATCTAAGAGGACAACTTTGAATTTAATACGTTGACTGCCGGAGGCCATTTACGAAACCTGACTTCAAATGCCAACTTTATAATAACCAACTTAGGTAATAATAACGTTTTTTATAGTAGACAATTTAGACAATAAAAACATTCTATATTAGTCAACATAGGCAATAAAAACATTGTATAATAGCCAACATAGGCAATAAAAACATTTTACAATAGCCAACATAGGTAATAAAAACTTTTTCAAATGCTTCGCTTATGTGTTATATTTTCAATAAATTTTTCAACTAAAATTTTTCCTTCCTTCCTTAGATACCACACACCAATTATTTGCGTTAAAAACAACGAGAAAAACTCGTCGTTGTAGCTTTGATGGCAATATCAGAAAAACGAGATAAACTATTGCTGCCACATATGGTCTGGTGATCCCGCTATATAATTCGAGAGCCTTGATAATATCCAAAGAAGAATCAGCAATATTATTGATCTTGATCTGACATCTCGTCAGTCACTTTCCCACCGCTGTAAAGTTGCCCCCCCCCGTGGCTTTTCTATAAATAATTCCAAGGCAACAGTTCGGATGAGCTCTACACCAAGGTACCTAGACTTTATGAAATTAAGCGCAATACTAGACTGGTGACAAGGTCTCATCAATATACAGTTGATTTGGCTAGATGTAACTGTACATTCTATGCTAACAGTTCATTTCTCGCACTTCTCGATTCGGTTTTATGCTTTCTAGTCAACTTTAATCTTCAAAATTTTAAACGCAATGTCAATCGCTTTCTACTGTCCTCCTTCTTTCACACCCTTGTGTCTTAGTGGCTTTACTGCCTTGGTTGGCGTTAATTGCTATATTTAGGGGTTAAAATGCTTAATATCAGGAAAACAGCGTATGATGATTGCATTTAGCATGAAACAGACTGTCGCTTCTGGGTGTTGATTCCAGTGTCCACTTATATATATATATATATATATATATATATATATATATATATATATATATATATATTTTCTTTAGTTTAGGCAACAGTTAAAATACAAAACAATAAGAACATAAATGTGATAGTGGTTCTACTGGATTTTAATTTTTATATGAGAAATACATTAGGAGTTGGTAGCTTTGCTTTCTTAAAAACCTTTAATTCCTCTAACAATTCAGTTCTACCATTACAGATCTTATAACATGTATTCTTGTATTCAAGACTTGGAATGTTTTCTCAAAGTTTAAATCACAATTCCTATCGGGCATTAAGAATTGATCTCTATCAATTACATCAATTATATAGGAGTCTCTTTTTACTATCTGAACTTAGAATATATGCGAAGCTTTCAATTATTGGAATGCAATAAATACTGAATATCATCTGCATCAACTTCCTTATAATAAGGTTTCTTTCAGAAATTGACAAAAAAAGAGCCTCTGTCCATTTCTACTATCTAGAACAGAAATATTCCCGAACAATGAAGTATTCTGGTGGGACGTTTTTTGATAATCCTTGCTTCTGAGCCTGATTATGGCGATACTATGTTTAGTTCAGAGTTAATAATAGAGTTAAGAATGTACTCGAAAAAATTTTGAAGAAAGATCGAAAGGACGGAATTTGAAAATTAAAACATTCACTCAGAAAATCCTTCCACTCAATAACGGACATACTTGCTATGTTGACTTATCCTCAACACCCGAACAGCTTAACGAAATCCGACAACACTCTATGGACTTTACTGACGCATTAAGCTCTCTAGCATAAATTCACTTAAGTTCACACTTTCTTACGAACATTTTTCTACCTAGATTAATTTCTTTATGAAGTTAAAATAAAATGTTGGTGGACTTTTTCACATAAAATATATTGTAAATAATCACATTTTATCTCAATTTCAAACTGAGTAAGTGTCCTTTTTTATTGTGCGCCTAAAGTTGTGTTAGTTGATATTTTTGTATATGAAAAAATTCTCACAACGTAAAACGTGGTATTTAGGAATTTGATATTTTTCTTCAAAGCAGAAAATTCAAAATACTTAGATATATTACTGATCTACTATATAAAATATATTTAACACTTACTTTGTACTTTGCGAGGAAAGGATGTCGGGTACCTGAGCACACCATATCTTCATCACGGTCAAGCATACATCTTACTGGTCTTTTTAACCTGATAATAAATCAATTTGTATTTCAAGTTATTTATAAACAGTTCTTGAACACCGACGTAGATAAAAAAATGATAAATATTTCTTTTTGTTTCTTTCAGTCGTAGTACAAATTTCATTAAAGACACTGGATGGGACAAGAAAGAAAAGAGAGAACGAATATGAAATAAAAACACCTTGTCACGACTTTTATAGGTCACACCGCTTGAGCTGCAGTACCCTGGGCGCTGTAGAAAGGGTAATCATTAAAGTCCGCCTTGCTTCCCCTGTTTGTGACTACATGACACCAATTATGTAATTATATCATTATTTCTGATACATGATATTGTTCTAAGTGGATGTTTTTGTTGTAGTTTTCCTATTTTGCTGAAACTAGATTGCTACTCGAGATCATATTTTCTGGGTTTATCTTGACTAGCTAGATGAGAAACCATTTTCTAATAAGCGGGCATGAGTACTTGTATTGATGGAAAGTATAGGCACCTAACTTTCTCCCCCCGCCCAATACCTCTAGTTTTAATTAAACGCTTACATCTTATCACAGTTTGCAAGGGGAAATTCTATTTGTTTTGGAATGATAGCCCATAAAATTTATGACTAAAGAAACCTTATCAGAATAATATATTGGTTATAAGAGATAAAACAACTGTCATAGAAAAAAAAATGGCGAAAATATCCGTTTTCATACAGGAAACATTCGGCATTCACTGACCGAACAGTTAGTTTTACCATGGGTTGAAATTTATAAATCTTTGGCTTAAAATTGTTAAAATACTCTGGAAAATAGGTTTCTAGTAATGATGGAAATTTCTGCAAATATCGACCTTCGTGTATCCACCCACTACAAATAAAAACGGAGTATCAAAAAGATGGTTTTTCCCGTGACACCACATTTATTTTAACTACCATCACTCTTCGGCAATGCTTATTGTTTTAAAAAGCAATGATTAGAATTGTAATAAAACCTATATACATGAAAGTGAATTTTTATATTTTCTTTGTTCTTGAAATTGACAACAAAATAATAAATAAAAAATATTTATTTCTTAGATTGTTTATTTACACTATTTATTTGATTGTTTATTGAAAAGGTCAACAAAACATCGGCTAATTGTTAATTGATTCGAAATCAAGATGGTAAATAATAATTTCCTTATAACTGCTTCATATATTCTAATAATTTAATAAATGTTTATAAATTTATGAATAAAAAGTTGTTTTCATATTTATTTCTTCATAAATTATAAATATTACATTGTATCAGTTTTTGGAAAAGTGTAATATAAAATTATTCCTGTAAGTAAACAATCTATTAAATAAATAGTGTTTTTTGTTGTAAATTCAAGAACAAAAAATGTATAGGTTCATTTTCATAGTATGTTTAGGTTTTATTACAATTCTAATTGTCGATTTTTAAAACAATAAACATTGCCGAGAAGTGAAAATAGTTAAAATAAAAGTGGTGTCACGGGAAAAACCGACTCTTTTGACTCACCATTTTTCCGGGCACGAAGATCCATGTTGACATCCTTTCTTTCTATAAACTCTTAAAAAAAAACAAGATTTCACTATATGCATTAAAAAAAGCATATGATATTCACTTGTTCATGTTTGCCAAAGTTTACTTCCTAAGCATTTATTTAGGTTGTGTGGAATGTTAACAGCTTGATTATATCATTATTTTCTCTTCTAATTGAATGTGCCAACTATTTTAATTGTTGTTGCAGTTGGCAATATTCAATCTGGTTTTTGTTATTTGGTAAAGCTTTTTGTTGTGACGCCAGTCTATAGGCTATAATGAAAACTTTTTTTCTTTAAATCTAGAAGATTCATTCACTTGAAACTATTTTAATCATTATTCTGAGAAAAGGATTGTATTAGGAAATTTCTAAACGAATTGGATGCCATGCATAACATCCATATGAGAATCTAAATCCGAGGAGGTTATTTAAGAACATGATTAGAGATTTTTGGTTAATATTTTGGTTTGTGGCATATTACGGTGCTGCAAAAAAAAAAAACAAAAAAAAAAAAAAAAAAACAAAACAAAAGCAAAAAAAAAAAAAAAAGAAAAACAAACAAAAAACCTAGCTCAACCTATCATTTATTTACGTTATTTATATTCGGACTATTGTCCTCATCATTGTCGTTGCTATGACAACGTTTAAATTAAGGCGTTGGTTTGTTAATTTTGGTGAGATAGTGATTGTTGAGATTTCAAACCCTGGGTCGGGCAGTGTGTACTTCGACTCAATGGAAACAGGGCAAGCATTAACTGAGCAGTACTAGAAAACAAGAACTAGACGAAATATCTCTAGACATGAGCAGTGAACGAGAACAATCTACTCCCGAAGATTAAATAAATGGTTCCGTTCAAAAGTCCGTATAGTTTAGCCAATATACACCCGAGAAAAGCCGGAGGGTACAACGACTGAGAGGATGTAATAACAACAACAAAGATGATGAGAATAGTCCGAATTTAATTAATGTAAATAATGATAACTCCTCATCCCACAAATTCAGACTGAAACCTAATCTTGGCTCAATTTTCTTTTCTCCGATACTAAATTTGTTATATATATATATATATATATATATATATATATATATATATAAGTGAACATAGAAGTCAACACTTAGAGGCGACAGTCTGTTTCATGTTAGATGCAATCGTCAGGCCACGAGTGCTGTTATTTTTCTTGGCTATTTTTATACACGGATCAGTGATGAATTGTGGGTAGTCTATTTTGGCGGTTATTTTACCGGAAGTCATTTATTTGTTTATTTATTTATTTGGGTTAAATTATTTTGCTTGTTTTTATTTATTTTTTTTTAATTTTAATTTTTTTTTTATTTCTTATCTTATATATTTATTTTTTTTTATTTTAATCTGTGTTTTTATTAACGTAGTAAAAATTTGTTTATATCGCTTATTTAATAGTGTTGTTTTGGTTTGGGAAGATGATTAAAGCTATTTATTCAATTTGGGGGTTGATTGTTGTAGTTTATTCTAGTTATTATTTTGGCGGGAACAGTTTTTAAATTGTTTATTACTTCACGTATTTATATGGATTGATTATCTTTATTTGTTTTTAACGGTTAGTTTATCGTGATCGGTTTGTTTGTTTATTTATTTGGATGAATTTAGGTCAATTTATTTTACTTGTTATTATTTATTAGTTATAATGTATATTTTCTGTTTTCGGTTTTCGATTTTTAAGTAACGAAAATTTCTTTTTCTTTTGTTGTTATATAACAGTTATAGCTATTTTTTTCGTCCGATTTTTAGTTTGTTTTTTATAGTCTAACTAATATTTTGGTCATAATGGTTTGCTAATTTGTTTATTATTTACTTATTTAGTTGGGTTCATTGATTTTGTTTCTTAATTTTTTCTATTTCGTCTATTCTAACAAGTGTGATTTGGTAATTTGTTTGGGTTAATTTATTTTGCTTATTTTATTGTTATTTTGTTTATTTATGTATTTTTATATTTACTATTTGTGAAAGATGTTTTGTGTGTATAATTTTTAAGTTTCCAGGGTCCTTCAGTTACTCCTATGTATACATTTTCTTCATTATCTGGTGATTTTATCGTGGCTTCGTATATTACGTTGTTTTGTAAATAATTACCGTTTAATGGACATTCGTTCTTTATTCTGCAGTTGCATGTGGTTTTAATTTGTTCGTGTGGTTTGCTGGTAATTTTCCTGTTGTGCTTTTTTTATTATTTGTACCATGTTCTCAGTGCAACTGTAGCTGATTTTTACTGTGTTTTTGTTGAATATTTTGTGTAGGGTGCTTGATTCCGGGAAGTGTTTGTGTAAGAGTTTGAAGAATATTTTTCCTACGTTTGTTTTTACGCTTATGCTGTACGGTGGGTTGAACCATATGATATTTCTTTTCCTGTTGGCCTTTTTTGTGTTCTGTGGTGAGTATGTGAGTGTTGCTGGGAATCCGCTATCTTTTAGGGCTGTTTCGTAGTCTTTCTTAGCTTTGTTAAATATGGATTCATTGGAGGAATTGTCGGAAAGCCTGCAGTTAATCGATTTTGGTATCTGTTTGATTATAGAAGGCGGGTAGTTGGAAGATGTGTGTATATAGAGTGGTTTATCATTGGGTTTTTCTGTATAGTTTATATGTGCCTTTTCTTAGGTTGAAGGTGACATCTAGAAAATCTACTTCGTTTAGGTTAGTTTTTATATCTATATCGAATCCGTTATTTTTGAAAATCTTTATTATTGCTTTTCTATTTTTGTCTGTGTTTTGTTTGTTACAGTTTCTTAAGATTATGAGACCGTCGTCCTTGTAGAGTCCTGTGTCATTTCTATCTATTATTTTGCTTAGTTCGTGTAGTAAGTAAATATCTATGATTTCGCATGTCCTAGCACCGTCAAAGCTTCCCATTGTAGTGTCAAATATCCCATCTTCCTTTATCCATGCTTCTTCATTGTGAAATAGTAATGATTTACGGGAGTGCTTAATGATGTCGATTTCGTTTGGTCTTATTATTATTTGTTCTTGAGCTAAGTTGATGGCCTTATCTAACATGCGTTCTGTTATGGAAGGGTAAAATTCTTTTATGTCTAATTGTATGAATTAGCAGTTTTGTTTGTTATTTATGCTGTGGGACCAGTCAACAGTTGCTTTTGTGTTTTTCCACTGGTTTACTCCTAACTTCTTCCTAAGTTCAGAATTAATTCTTTCTAGTGTCGTTTTACTTATTTTACCTAGTTCGCTTTTGGCTGGGTTTATGAGTGTGCATGCAGGGTTGGTTTTGAAATTTTCTTTGTGGTCTTTTAGTGTGATAGAGGCTTGCGCCTTGCTGATGCAACTTATTAGGTCATCTAGGTCTAATTTTTGGGCGATTCCTTCAGCTTCCTTATTGATATCGTGTTCTATTGTTTTGCTGCCTTTTTGTATGTTTTGGTTATGGTGTGCTTGAGTAATTTATTGTGCGTAGGAGGGCTTAGTTTGTATAAATTTCTTGTTTTCTCAGCTGCGATAAATACATCTGCTGAATTGTTTATTTTAGTTATATCTTTTAGTTTTTTTAAATGCATCTTGTTTTTGATGGAATTTTATTTATGTGTTTACTAATTCATCGTAGTGAGACAGTGTGTATGTATGGAGAGGGAGTATACACATATATACACGCATGCTGACAGAAACACACGAAAATGTAAATAGATCTAAGAGCACACAGAGGTCATTAAAACATTAAAAGATAAGATATCGATAACTAATTCATCATTTCTCTCAGACCAATCTTAATTGTTTTATGACCCTTCGCGCAGAACTCTTCACTGCCAGTTCAAGAAAGAAATTCGGATTACTAACACATAAAAAGAGAATGTCTCACATCGAGAATATTTAACATTGAAAAACATAAAAGAGAAAAAATTAATTATTTTTGATAATATGTGGAAATCTCCACCCTTTACCTGAAACACGTGTAGTAAAAATATGGAAAATAAAGCATAATATTTTTTAAAAAATCCACATTATAACCAAAAAACGTTTGCGGTATCTCTCTTCTTTAAATATATATATATATATATATATATATATATATATATATATATATATATATATATATATATATTATTTGTATTGATATGAGTTTGTGACCCTGGGCTTCACATCGTTGCGATCGTAGGTCCTGACGACCGCAAGGGCGTGAAACCCAGGGTCCAAACTCACATCAATATAACTAAATATGTTAGCTCTATCACCGATATTGCGCGATCTCCAATAAGTACCGTGAATATATAATATATAAATAATATATACAGAAATCACACACACACACACACACACACACACACACACACACATATATATATATATATATACATATATATATAAAGACGTCTCATTGAATAATTTAGACAACGGATTTTCAATAGGATCTTCTCTTATTCACGAAAAAGCTTTTAGTATCCTTATTAAAGGGAGAGAGAAAATTACTATTACACATTCATTTATTCCGAGTATTTTCGACATTAGCATAATGTCATCATCAGGGTGTTGTTTTTTATAAAAGAAAATTGTTGTGTTCATTATTTCTCTAAGACAATATTGTTGTGTCCATCTGAAAGTTAAATTTTTTACTTGTGAAGTGAAAAACGCTAAGGCTATGTACTGTACGATTTAAGTTTTATGCTGTAAACATCAGGGGAGGTAACTAAGTTATGAAATATATAAATGTTTTTTTAAACTATTAGTTACAACTTAGATATTTTAAACTATCTACTGTAAACATTTTAAAACAATTGTGCAATATTCATAATTAATTTTAATAAGGGTTTATAATATTTTATCGAGTCAGTTCGTTTTATTCCCAAAGTTTCCGATAAAATAATTATCCTACCTACAACTCAATATTCACATCAATACTGTGATTATGGTGATGTTAAGAGAGTTTTAGTATATTTTTATAGGTTTAATGTGGGCCCCTAGCGATAGCTTTTTTTTTAGCAAAGTCAAGTGGGATAATCCACAATGATTTGTAAGCACTTTCAGTTTCATCAGGAAATACTGGGAGCAAATGAATGAAATAGTTATTGATTTAAGTATGTCTCGTGTCATTGTGTTGTTTCAGCATGTAGCAGTTAATCTCATATAGTTTATCTTTCCGCCCTAATTCCAGTGTAACAATACCAGATCTCTAATCTCAAACAATTTTTCCATCAGTGGAAATTAGCGAAATAAACAACGGACTTTACTGAAATGTTAGAAAACTAAGTGTACAAAGCAATAAACTTACTTGTGTGCTGCAACAGCGACAGGTAAAGAAACGATTGGCGAACGGCTTTCTTTCCCTCCGAAGCCTCCTCCTATATGCATTAAAAGGAAGGACAATTTAATATTGCAAATAAATCAATTTTAATAAACGATCTATATACGAGGGTGGGGTGGGGGTTACTGAAAAGTTCAAGACATGAACCACTCCTCAAAATCAGCATCCTGATATCTGTTGATCGAAAGTTTGAATTTTGGAAGTAGTACGGGTTGGGAAATTTTCATTAATCTATCTATCTATCTATCTATCTATCTATCTATCTATCTATCTATTTCAGTTTGTTCATTATCTATCTATCTATCTATCTATCTATCTATCTATTTCAGTTTGTTCATTATCTATCTATCTATCTATCTATCTATCTATCTATCTAAGTTTGTTCATTATCTATCTATCTATCTATCTATCTATCTATCTATCTATCTATCTATTTCAGTTTGTTCATTATCTATCTATCTATCTAAGTTTGTTCATTATCTATCGATCTATCTATCTAAGTTTGTTCATTATCTATCTATCTATCTATCTAAGTTTGTTCATTATCTATCTATCTATCTATCTATCTATCTATTTCATTTGTTTATTTCTATCTATTTGTTTATCTATCCATCTATCTATCTATCTATCTATCTAAGTTTGTTCATTATCTATCTATCTATCTATTTCAGTTTGTTTATTATCTATCTATCTATCTATCTATCTATCTATCTATCTATCTATCTATTTCAGTTTGTTCATTATCTATTTATCTATCTATCTATCTATCTATCTATCTATCTATTTCAGTTTGTTCATTATCTATCTATCTATCTATCTATCTATTTCAGTTTGTTCATTATCTATCTATCTATCTATCTATCTATCTAAGTTTGTTCATTATCTATCTATCTATCTATCTATCTATCTATCTATCTATCTATCTATTTCAGTTTGTTCATTATCTATCTATCTATCTAAGTTTGTTCATTATCTATCGATCTATCTATCTAAGTTTGTTCATTATCTATCTATCTATCTATCTATTTCAGTTTGTTTATTATCTATCTATCTATCTATCTATCTATCTATCTATCTATCTATCTATCTATCTAAGTTTGTTCATTATCTATCTATCTATCTATCTATCTATCTATTTCAGTTTGTTTATTGTTTATTATCTATATCTATCTATCTATCTATTTCAGTTTGTTCATTATCTATCTATCTATCTATCTATCTATCTATCTATTTCAGTTTGTTCATTATCTATCTATCTATCTATCTAAGTTTGTTTTATTCATTATCTATCATCATCTATCTATCTATCTATCTATCTATCTATTTCAGTTTGTTCATTATTCATCTATCTATCTATCTATCTATCTATCTATCTATCTATCTATCTATTTCAGTTTGTTCATTATCTATCTATCTATCTATCTATCTATCTATCTATTATCTATCTATCTATCTAAGTTTGTTCATTATTCATTCATCTATCTATTCATCTATCTATCTATCTATCTATCTATCTATTTCAGTTTGTTCATTATCTATCTATCTATCTAAGTTTGTTCATTATCTATCGATCTATCTATCTAAGTTTGTTCATTATCTATCTATCTATCTATCTATCTATCTATCTATCTATCTATCTATTTCAGTTTGTTTATTATCTATCTATCTATCTATCTATCTATCTATCTATCTATCTATCTATCTATCTATCTATTTCAGTTTGTTTATTATCTATCTATCTATCTATCTATCTATCTATCTATCTATCTATTTCAGTTTGTTCATTATCATTCATCTATCTATCTATCTATCTATCTATCTATTTCAGTTTGTTCATTATCTATCTATTCATCTATCTATCTAAGTTTGTTCATTATCTATATCTATCTATCCATCTATCTATCTATCTATCTATCTATCTATCTATCTATTTCAGTTTGTTTCATTATCTATCTATCTATCTAAGTTTGTTCATTATCTATCGATCTATCTATCTAAGTTTGTTCATTATTCATCTATTCATCTATCTATCTATCTATTATCTATCTATTTCAGTTTGTTTATTATTATCTATCTATCTATCTATCTATCTATCTATCTATCTATCTATCTAAGTTTGTTCATTATTCATCTATCTATCTATCTATCCATCTATCTATCTATCTATTTCAGTTTTGTTCATTATTATTTATCTATCTATCTATCTATCTATCTATCTATCTATCTATTTCAGTTTGTTCATGATCTATCTATCTATCTATTTCAGTTTGTTCATTATCTATCTATCTATCTATCTAAGTTTGTTCATTATCTATCTATCTATCTATCTATCTATCTATCTATCTATTTCAGTTTGTTCATTATCTATCTATCTAAGTTTGTTCATTATCTATCGATCTATCTAAGTTTGTTCATTATCTATCTATCTATCTATCTATCTATCTATCTATCTATCTATTTCAGTTTGTTTATTATCTATCTATCTATCTATCTATCTATCTATTTCAGTTTGTTTATTATCTATCTATCTATCTATCTATCTATCTATCTATCTATTTCAGTTTGTTTATTATCTATCTATCTATCTATCTATCTATCTATCTATCTATTTCAGTTTGTTTATTATCTATCTATCTATCTATCTATCTATCTATCTATCTATCTATGTTTGTTCATTATCTATCTATCTATCTATCTATCTATTCGAGAATATGATAAGTAAAAAATTCGTATCTGTCAGAACAATGTGAAGTAATTGAATGACAAAATGGAAAGATTCCGTGTAAATTCTTTTGTGGATGAAACGCGTTCCACAGATTGATAAATGCGGATATATTATTTACATATCTTAGTGGAAGTTAAGCAAAGATACTTTCTTATGTTCGACTTGACGGCCTAGACAAAAAGAGTTTATCTCGTACAATTTCTTATCTCATTTGTGTGTGTGTGTGTGACCTAACCAGAAAAAGATGAATCCAAATAAAGTTTTTTAGGTCTGTTTTTGGGTGAACAGAAAGACAAATGTTGGTGTGCGCAGACAGGTTACGATAAAATTTTATAAAATACTACCTCATGAAAAAATAAGATGTAGTATAGTGGTATCCCGTATCTTAGATTCGGGGAGGGGGTTTCGTATCCTAGATTCGGGAGGGACGAGACCCTTGCATCGCCCCTGTGCGCGGATACCACCCCGGTCTTGAAAAATATCGTCCTGGCACGGACTCCTTTTTGATTGAGCGACGTCTCTGCTGGTTGGGCCATGTCTGGAGGATTGACAACAGAAGAATTCCGAAGGACATTCTTTATGGAGAACTTTCAAATGGAAAGAGAAAAATTGACCGTCCATAACTTCGATTTAAATATATTTGCAAACAAGACATCCTATCGTTTAATATCAACCCCACTACCCAGGAAAACACCACTCAACAGTGCTTTCAATGACAGCAATCAATTCGTAGTGGGCTGTTAACATACAAAAATAACATGTCGAAGTGTCCTCATTGATTGATTCTATGTACGGAGGAGAAAGTATAAATACCCACTGACGAGCGGACGGATCGATATATATGATTTATTTCAAAAGAACCAGGTGGTCATAGAAACAAAAGGACACTTATTTAATAACTGGATAATGTTGTATATAAACCCTTAGATCAGATTAAATCTTATTTCAGTTATGAATATTACGGCTTATCAACACTTTGTAGGTTATTTAAAACCAGAAGATATTTCTGGATTGTAAGAATTCTTTTTTTAGAAAGAATAATACTTTAGTGATACAAGTCTTAGCTGGGGGAAGAAGAGGTGGATTCATCCCTTTATCAATGGTATTTGCGCGTAAATCAATATAAGTAACCCAACGAGAATTGGAACTCGGCTCTCTGATTTCCAATTCTGAGGTATTATTCATTACACCACCGCGCGGTTGGTGTAATGGATCACGATTCCAAACTTCCAAGAAAGTACAAGGAAGAAGTACAAACAGCGTGAGGGCGCCATTTCATAAACACCGCAACATCTGTGGCCGTGTCTGCTTCTCACACATTGAACATTGCAGCCACATGAGACACTGCATGAGAACCTGATTATTGAGCATGTAAAGTCAATGTTCTTCCGTGACTGAGTTGAGGAAAATGGAAGCAAAAAGGACAATTATGCATAAAATCAGAACACGGCAATTGATTTTTTTTGGGACACATAATGAAAAAAGGTGTGGAAAATTTGACATTTACAGGAAAGATGAACAGAATGAATCCTCGAGTAAATATCGGGGAGGGATATGAAAAAGACAAACTTTGCTAAGGGCTACGAAAGATATGAAGTTGTGGAGAGTAGTGATCATTCACCTCCCGAATGGGGACGGAACACAGAAGACGAATTAATGGCGGTCTTAGAAGATATTTTAACGTCAACAAAATCAATAATTTTTTTTTACATTGACTCACCAATTCTTTTCACCCGCACACAAAATCTATTTGCGGGAATGTTTAAAGCACTTCCAATACCCAGCTGAAAGATAAAAATAAAATAAATCGTTATTTTACAGCTATATTCCCTTGTCGTTGTTAATGTGTCGGTTTAGATCGTCTCTCTCATCGTCATACCAACTTTTCAGCGCCGTTTTATACACTAGACTCATTTTGTATCATGCTAACGCACCTTGAAATCCTCACAGTATTTAGTATTGTTGAAATTATTGTTAAAAATCTTTGACGATATTAACAAACTCTACGTTTTGTTCAATTGCGCAAACCAATCGATGAAATTTGAATAAGCTAATTTGTTTGGAAACATTCTTTGACAAAAACTCTACTTCGCGATTTAATAATTTCTTTAATTTAATGTAATTTTATAGGACTTCATGGTAAACAATATTTTTAAGAAAATTTCTTTTTTTTCTTTTCCCTTTTTAACAACTAAGAATAAATTCATACGATTTCTTACGCCTGAACATGCAACGTAAAACTGGCGTCAATATTTCTTTCTGGAGCCGAATTTCAACTTTTTGAAACGTTTGGCCTTGTGATTTGTTTATAGTTCTCGTAAACGCAGGGTGAACTGGAAACTTGATTTTTGTATATAAAAACTTAAAGAAAAGATACGCAGAAAACAATATCCCATTTTTATTAAATAAGTATTTGTTATTTTAATCATTAAATTGTTTTTAAAATGGTGAGAGTATTTTGTATGTTAAATAAAACTTTTAATGTAGATAAGAATATTAATAAAAATTTGTTGAACTAAACTACTAGTAAAACCAATTGTAACTATCTGAACTTATCTCCAAAATTTGCTTTTGATCGGTCAATGTATGGCTGTTTCAGAAGTTGTGTCGGACTGACGGACTAACGGAAGTCACAAAATTTTATATATAGATAGATAGTGATGGAAGTAATTTTGTTATTACGATGGGCTTGACACGGGGTATGCTCGACAGCACTCTAAAATTGTCGCAAAAGTTTAATTATTTATTTTTCGAATAATGTCTGACATATCACTGAGAGCATTTGTAAATCATTTCCTTATAAACAACACATCTGCTTTACTTCCCTTGATGATGGTCACTGATTACTTTCCTGTATTCTAATTGCCATTACTCACCTACTTACTTTTAACACACACACACACACACACACACACACACACACACACACACACACACACACACACACACACACACATGCACACGTACACACACACGCACATGTACACACACAGTACGCACACACGCGCCCACGTACACACACATACATGCACTTACAAACACGTAAGTACAAACACGTACACGGATACACACAAACATACGCACAGGTACACACACACTGGCACGTACACACACGTATACACCCACAGTGCAGCGATGACAATATAAACTCCATTCATTTATTCATCAAGCATTTTCCAGCATTTTCCAAGCAATTAAGAATTATTAACATCATCCGCCCCTTAAGCCGGTGGGGTCGTAGTGCCGCTGCGCCGCTGAGCATTTGACCAGTTACCCCCTAACTATCTAGGTTGAAAGCCTAAACGATATTCTATTCACCTGTAGCGTTTCCTGGGTAAGCAGACTTTCCCTCCCCAGATCCGGCGTTCACTTTGAAGGCTCAACTTGTTCTCGAACACGTGGTCATTGATTTCAAAAGGTCAAATCTTGCGCCCTGGCCGTTGACTTCTGCCTAGAAAGCCCTCCGTTCAGCGACACCATGACATCACCACCCTAACTGCCTATATCGATATAGAGGCCCAGTCTGCTCCATTGTTCTAGAAGTTGTGCATTTACCCTGTGAAATTTTTATTAGGGAACTCACAGTTGATTTAAGCGGTCTTCCACACAAAATATGTCCCTTCAACTTCTATTTACCTGTTAGTTGAGATTATATGACTATGTACAATCTTTGATAGCTTCCGAACAATTTTTGTCTACCATTTTTATTCACAACTTGCAACCGACGATAAAGAAAACTCTGAATTCCCAAACAGGGTAGCTGGAACTCGTTAGCGTGGGGGTCATACGGTTATATAAGGGAAGAAAAACAACCTTTCCCCAAGTCAATTTGTCGTACGCCCATCAGGCACTTCCCAACGGTATAGTTCTCCAAAATTCGCCCTTTTCCGTTCAGTTGTTCATCGACCGCCCAACAATTGAAATTGCCCACCGGTGGGCGATATTGCTAGTGTTAGGAAGGCTACTTTATGGTAAGAATCTTGCTGGTAACATAATTTTTTGTTCTTTTTTTTTTGCTTATTATCTGTCTATATTTCTCAAGGACACATGGCACAGTGGATAAAGGCGTTAGTTAGATCCAATGACAGGGCCCAAAAGTGTGAGTTCAATACCTGGTTAAGTCAGTGGAGAACTTGGAAAGTAGAATTAACAGGGGATAACTGACATCTATTAGACATGGCACGTGGAACTAGAACAGTTTACCCCAGCGAGCGAAATAAAGGGTTCAGTTCGACATTCCAACCACCTGAAGAAGGGCGGAGCGTACAACAGCTGAAACGTTGTGATAAACATGGTAACAAAGATGATAGAAAGGATAATAGTTTTTTGTTTATATTTGAGAAATTGAACAATAAACAAGAGCTTGATTGAAATCAAAGTAGTTTGATTATATAAAAGAATAAAAAACAACAGAATGTTTCTTACAGATATTGATTTAAGAAAGAGTTCTGAACTAACATCCTTCTTTAAACCAAATTCTAAATATATTACCTGAAGTTCGTTTATGTTTTGGGTTGAGGCATAAATCTCCAGTTCGTGGTCTTCTTTTTTGGGAATGACGAGAGTCGAGTGGGTTTCCAAATAGAAATGCTCCTGTCCTCCAATGCGAATTTCTCTTTCGATCACATGATCAGATTCCTTGTAACCTACCTCCAGATCGCCGTCTTTAATTTCCTTTGTGACGTAGAATGAATTCGCCTCGATCGCTTGCTGGATATAAAAAAAACAAACAAAAAAAGTTACCGTTTTTTTTTTTAAATAAATTCGCCCCAAGCAAGACAGTAAAGCCACTAAGACACAAGGGGTTATGGGGTGTGGGAAAATTAGAAAGCAGAAACATTACCAAGGAGCGAGAACAAAAGGAGAGTAATCAGGTGGACAATAGATAGCAATTAACATTGCATTTATATTTTTGCAGATTAAAGTTGGCTGGAAAGCATGGAGTCGGAAGGGAGTTTCCCAAGCGACAAATGCGAGAAAAGAAACTATGAGCATAGAACTTACGGCTACATCTAGCTCACTTAACTGTAAATTGATGAGACTTCATCATTAGTCTAGTACTGCGCTTAAATTATAAAAAAATGTCTAGGTACTATAGTGAAGAGCGATATTTATTCTGTTTAATACAGAAATGTGGCACAAGGCCGAAAAGGGGATTGGGGAAAGGACGGTCTTCTTCTGTCTTAACTATAACTTAGCTAGCCGCAAACACTGACCCAATCGTACGAAACAATATTCCTTACATCAAAACAACACATTCATTCGTACCTTTCTTACTACAATCACCATAATACCTCTTTGTCTCTATGAAAATACTAACTAGTCCCCATATTTACAATTCGTGGTCTGTGGGGGGAGGGGAATAAAACAACAATTCTAAAAATTAACCCCAATGAAGAGCTCACCCGAACAATTACCATGAAAGAATTTATAGAAAATGCACAGGAAGGCAACCTTAAGGCGGTGGAAAAGCGACTGAAGCCAAGACGTCAGATCAAGACGAATAATATTGCTGATTCTTCTTTGGATTTTATCAAGGAGCTTTAGATAAATATCAGGAGCACCGGACCATATGTGGCAGTAATATTCTGAACATAGACGAATGGTAGATGTAAGATATGTAAAATAGATTGTAGAATTTAGAATTTGTTGAATTTAGATAACTGCTCTATTTTTACTGAATAAAAGATCAAAAAGAAGTTTAAATGTCTACGTGGTGTTTTAGCAGAGAATAGAAAATGCGACACCAAAATCCGAAAGCGAATCGGATTGGCGAAAGATGCCTTCCAAAAGCTAAACTAAATTCTAAGAAACAGGAAAATCTCTCTAGAAACAAAGAAAAAAGTTCGGAACTGCTATGTAATATCAATCATCCCATATGGTAGTGAATACTGAATTAATTTTTTGACAGAAGAGTGGAAGCAGCAGAAATGTGTTTCTACAGAAGGATACTGGGAATTTCAGGGATTGAACGCGTAAGCAACGATGAAGTCTTAAGGAAAATAAAACCAAAAAGGACACATTTTCATGATCAGAAAGAAACAGCTGAAATTTTAAGGATACATAATAAGAAAACTGGGGGCTTTGAAAATTTGACACTCACAGGATTTATTGAAAGCAAAGGAACAGAGAGAGGAACCTTGCCACCCACGAAACGAACTTGTACGAATACAGGGTGGAATACAAGTTAGGTAGGTTGGCTCGACATTGCTTAACATCTGTGATCGTATGAGAACCAATATTTCAACGTGATATGGCTGTAAGACCCCACTCCCCAGGAATTGGAGATAACAAAATGAGTGAAGTACAAAAGATTGTGCGAATAGATTGCGTAACAGGTAGTGGAAGGCTTACTAAAGTTAGATACGCTGTTAAAGGTTACGAAGGATAGGAAGTTGCAGAGAGCCATGATCAGCCACGGTACATAGAAAAAGAAGAAAAGATCAAAAAGTAGCTTCGTGTACCTGCTTATAATGGTTGTAATGTTTTCAAATAGTTTACTTTTGCAATTCCGGAATTAAAGTTTCCACGAATATATATTCCGTCTTCATTAATTGGTGTTTAGTCTTATATAATTTATGATATATATATATATATATATATATATTAAAAATATACACTTTTTCCTCGGCGTTTGGTACAACTCTGACTTTCATGCACACAGCAATCTTCAGGTACTGATTTCAAATTAACCATTGTAAAATTTAAATATTAATATTAACCTACTGTTAGAATAATGGAGTCGTCTAATATATATGTATATATATATATATATAGAGAGAGAGATAGATAGATAGATATGAAATTAAAATTAAGTATAACAATAAATGATAAAATAAAAATAAAATATCCAAAATAAAATATAAAAATACTAATAATAAAATAAAAGTTAGAATTAAAATTGGAAAATAAATAAATGTAGTAATTAAATTTAACGCAATAAATATGACCACATGTACAAACAAATACATGTTAAAAATAATATCATGCAATGTGCGCACATATACACACACAGGCACATATATATTACATAATAGAGAAATCGAAAATTATCTCATGAGTATAGACTATTTCATCTAACGCCGAAAAAAAACTATGTATTGTTAATTTTATTATATCTTATTTGTAAGCATATTTTGGTAATTTTAACAGGAACAATTTTTTTTTATATAATCAATAATTAAAAATTTCGGTTTATAAAACTCCTCTTTTCGGCCTTTCTTTAGTTTCACTTCATATAACACCAATTTGGGTTTTTAAGATTAATATCTGCCTTTCTTTTACCACCATTCGGGCAGTTTGTCCTGTTTGCTGTGTTATGGGTTGGTTCTGTATCAGTTTTTCAACTGGTGTCTTTGTTCAATACTAAATTTTAAATCTCTAGTTCCGACACTGAATACTGTCCACCATCTGAGTTGAATAAGACTGAAGCATTCGGCGTTAGTTGAAATAGTCTATACTCATGATGTAATTTTGGATTTCTCTATTAAGTAATTTATATGATCTGTTATAATAAATACATTATAATCTTTTTGTGGATCAGTTTATTATTTTATATTATTAGGATCCACTTGGATTATATACCAAATAATTTATTACCTTTATATGTATATATATATATATATATATATATATATATATATATATATATATATATATATATATATATATATATATATATGTATGTATGTATATAAATTACATAAAATAAGAATTTAGAATTACTTCATAGTTATGATCATTTCACCTTACAAGTTAAGATTTACTTGTAAAAATTTTCAAACCGATCAAGGTAATAAGATAAAATAAAATGAAACCAGACCTAAAGCAAATTTTAGAGCAAGGCAGAGGAAACGAAGGGAAGAAAAACGGAAAAAAGTAAAAAGTAAAAGAAATAGTGAAAAGACAAAATAGTAAGCGGAAGAAAGGGAGAAAGAAGAAGGTAAAGAAAGAGTACTGGATCAGTTTTAATATTTTGTATTATTAGGATTCACTTGAATCATATACCAACGGATTATTGCCTATATATATATATATATATATATATATATATATATATATATATATATATATATATATAAACAAATTGGTGTCTTAAATTGCTCCACATTCTCATTTTTTAAAAATTGTATTGACCGCTTTTTTTCATTAATTTAACCGTTTTTTACAAATATTGTTTTTTAGTCAAAAGTTCAAATTTTTAATTGAATTATATATATATATATATATATATATATATATATTTATATATATATATATATATATATATATATATATATATATATATATATATATATATATATGTATATTCATATATATATATATATATATATATATATATATATATATATATATGTATATATATATATATATATAAAACGGGTCTCCGATTAACAATTCTGAGCCATTATCAATTACGCCACTGCAGAGCCAAGCTTACAATACCTGGTATTCCCAAGCTCTCAGCCTTTTAAGTATTGACTAGGCACAACGTGACGTGGCTGTAAGTTGGCTCATAAACTGTAGTGACAAAAGCTGTACAATTTTCTGTTGCCGCACGCTGTACAAGTTTCTGAACGTATTTAGGATGTACTGAAACATTCTATTGATGGCATAACTGGAGTCTCAGTTTCTGAAGGTTCTTTGTTGGGGAGAAATGAGCCCATATCCCTAATGCGTGTTGGTAGGCATTCATGATCACCCAAGAATATTTGCGTGTAAGTGAATGTAATGAACTTGACTGGCATTCCGAGACATCATGATGGTATGTCTACTCATTCAAAAATTTAATTGACAATTATTTTATTAATCAAAATCATTTTTCTTATTTAATTATTTTGTTTAAAACCTGATTTCCCCCCAGCGCGAAGTGTCATGCTTGATAACATTAAATTAATTTGTCTTATCTTAAGACTTTTTTTGCAACACACATCAGCGTGTTGAAATTCTCACAGTATTTAGTATTGTTACCGTCGAGAATTAGAAAACTCTACATTTCATTCAGTTTCGCAAACCAATCGATGAAATTTGAATAAGTTGATTTGTTTGGAAAGTACTTTGACAAAAACCCTCTCTCGCGGTTTTTACGTAGCCTAGTAAAACCAACTGTACTTTGTATCGGCTTACCTATTTGCACTTCACTCCAAGATTTTGTTTCGATCGATCAATATATAACTATTTAGAGGATGTGACGGTCTAACCGGTCACAGAATTTTACATATAGACAAATAGGTTCTTATTGGAGAAATGTTAATGATAACTATATAAAAAGAGATTTATGCCATAAAAATCAGATATCGGTCAACGAAAATGTTAATATTGAATAAGACAAAAATATACAATACCTCTATAGTCACAATTGGCGTGAGTTCTTCATAAGTTATCTTTACGTTCTTCGCGGCTCTTTGGGCATGCGCAGCAGTGTCTGCTACAATTGCACCAATTACCTGCCCCTCACAAGTTACCTGACAAGAAAAAGAAATACCAGCTCAATAAAATTGAAATAAAATTATTAAATGCTTTTAAAAAAATAAATTATTTTCAGGATTCAATAAATTTACAATTTTTGTTTTTGATATAAGCATCCACACAGACAAATAGAATCCATTGTTTTATTAGTGTTGGAAAGATGACGCATTGTCAATTTTTATTAACAGGAAAGACCCGTGAAAATTTCACGTGTTTCTTATTTGAATTTTCTGATGAAATTTAATTCTTAAGTTAAGGATTGAATAAGCCCGTGTCGAGTTCTATGACAATATCCGTAGATATTCCCCTATCACATCGTTAAATATCTGAGCTTAACGACTTTAACAAAATATTGCAATAACTACCATAAATATGCATGCTTGTCATTATTTTAAGAAGTGGGTACAAATGAAAAGATTTATTCCATTACACTGTAAGAGCCGTTAAACATTTCTATTTTCTCTTCTTCCTTTCATTTATTTTCTCACTGAAACCAAATAGTCTCTTTTCCCCTCTTTCCACGCAATCAAACTAGAATGGTTCATTATTTATGAGGTATTAGCAAGAGACGTTAAACACTTCTTTCTTTCTGTTATACCCCGAGCGACGAGGTGGACTCACCCACACGTGTATAAATGTGATAACGAAACGTGGAGCTAGGGAAAACAGCAAAACCTCTGGTGAGACTCCAGACGGAATGTAATATAATATATAATATCGCCATACGGGACACGTAAGACAAGGATCACGGTGCATGGCGTGTCCATAGGCATTAGCGAACACTGGATAGGGGCCTTTTTTGTCAAATACAGGCAAGTGGACGAAGTCAGTGCAGTAATTGGTAAATCCGGCATCGCCACTGGAGACATTGTTCTCCAAGTGATCCTAGCCCACCAGAGCTTTCGTGAGATCCCAATCTGTTGATGTGCCGGGGAAAAAATGATGCTCGTAGTGGTGGAAGGCCGCTAACCCTTCTGTTTGTCGTGTGGTGACTCGGGGAACATGTCGAAGGCATTCCCCGGGAAGAATGGAACGACACAACCACAACCGACGACAACATCAGCAGCAACAACAGAGACGGAAAAGTCCCCCAACGGTGTCTGGACGGAGGTGAAGAGGGGATAGAAGACGTAAATCCGCTCTCTCCCCAACAGCTGGATGTGCCAACTCCGAAACAACATCAACCATCACCACGGAAGCGGCCCGAGGAGGTACAGTAGCAGCAATAACAAACCGCTACATCAAGAGAAAGGCAAACAAAAGCAACATCAAAAGTAGCAACAGGAACAGAAAAGGAAACAGCAAAATCAGCAGCAACAATTACAACCTAAAAGGCAGCAACGACCCGAATCTAAGATGGAGGTGGAGGAAATGCCTCCGCCTCGCATTCCATCTTTGAAGAGGATCAAGGCGGAAGAAGAGGAAGAAGAGAAACCAGTGGGTGAAGTAGGAGGAAGAGAAGCATGAACAAAGCCAGGTCCCTATCCCTGCTCCGCAAAAGAATATTTCAGACGCTATTGTCTTGCTCAAAGCAAGGAGTCTTCACTCTTCACTTGCCTGAGCTCCTTCCTCTCTCCTTCCACTCCTCCGCCAGTTCTATGTCTACTCCCCTCACTCATCCACTTCTTCCCCCTCTCACCCCGCCAGGGAAAGAAAAAATTTCTTCGGCCAATTTGTAAAGTAGATAGAAAGAAACTAGAAAAGGACCTTTCGAACCCAAAAAATCCCTATTTGTTTAAAATGTCCATATTAGATGAAAAGTCGGTAGAGAACGCCCGCAATTTCCCAAAGGCTTCAGGTCTTATCACTTGCATAAGGGACACGGGGGGATTACCTAAAGGTATGCTACCACCTTTTCGAAGCAAAGGACATGTTCCCAAAATTCGTGTATTTGAGTTGGGTTCGCCTCAACTCAAAAAAAAAAACTTATAAATTTTGCTCAGAAAGGGTCCCCGTAATGCTCCCTCATTATATAGGGTGGTAAAACTAACATCTATGAACGTTGGCGGTATTGTTCTAGATGGACGGATGACATCAGTTGGCACAGGGAGCCTATGACAATCCGTCGGGGTCCTTAGCACCGCAGATTTCCGCCCTCTATGTGAATAGGTTGACTGTTATTTTTTCTCGTTTCAAACCTAAAGAATGTGTATCAAGATAGCTAGCCTGAATGTGAATGATGTGAGGGATCGGAGTGACATCCACACCGTACGACAAAAAAAGTGATGTGGATTTTAAAAACACGATAAAAAATTGGTAGACAATTTTTTGGCGAAAATGTCTGTTTCTCATACCCGATATCAAGTTTTCAACTTGAAGAAAAAAAGTAAGAGGCGATTTTTCCACATATGCGGGAATAGTGAAAAAGAGTAAATTAAAAGATTTAACAGAAAACCAGTTCAAATGTTTACTTTTCGTGATGGGTCTGAAGTCACACAAAGATAACGAAATAAGGACAAAAATATTAGCAAAGCTTGAACAGGACACACGGATAAATTTACAGAGGATTGCTGAGGAGTGTCAAAGGTTAATGAATTTGTGTCAGAACCGGACGAAATTAAAATTTAGGTCGTAGCAACAAAAAAATACGGCAAAAAATAATAATGCATCGAACCCCTGTTACGGTTGTGGGGGAATGTGTCGTGTCCACTAAAATATCAACTACAATATTTATAAACCAATCACACTCAAGAAAACACATCTTAAAACACACCAATAAAATAATAGATTACAAATCAGAATGTTTGTTGTATTAGTCATCATCATTTTTAGGTAGATACCGACCAAATATCGTACGGACGTAGTAGAAGACATACCACGTGACTTCTTAGGGCCAATTAGAAATAAATAAATAATTTAATTCTGGAGCCAATATTGTTAGGAAAAAGTGTATAAAAACATACGAAATCCGTTCCCAAAACAATATACACGCGGCTGCCACCAAATTCCACACACCTTTCGCCGATGACCTTCATGACCTCATGTCAAAAACGACAGCGTTGACAAACTCCAGATCACGTCAACACCGCCAAAAGTAAGAAACAATTCGTATCTCTCGTATCCGTTTTTACTATGTATCACGCACACACATGTTGACTTTTTCATACAAACACACATATCACAACATTTTATTGTTTCTCACACACGTACACAAAGACAGTTTATATTTTATTTCAGAACATTATCAACCCAAACAAAAGACATTACTTTCCACTTTTTGTATTCCTATCGTTATATTAAATCAGTGTTTATTTGTTGAAACTACGTCGTCTTTTTTACTGAATTTTATTCCTTCAATGAAAAGCGTTTGATTATTTTAGACGGCCAAATTACGAGCGACCCTGTGACGATATTTTGTTAATGTATTGAATCCCGACACTCCAAATTTTAATATTCAACGAAAAACCGAGTAGAAGGATTCCTACAAATGGTGACCACAACTATTACCTTGTGAAAACACGAAAGTTGGTAAATAGAACACACAAATTTATGTATCTTAAAAAAATTAAAAAAAATGGAACAACAAAACACAAATAGTACGGAAGCTTTGTTGACAACAGTCACCTTGAATTTACCTGCATATAACCCTAACAACATAAAATCATGGCTTATACAAATGCAGGCCATATTCAACGCGAAGAAAATTGTTTCGCAAAGAGCCCGATACTGTTATTTAGTAGAAAACTTCCAGCAGAAGTTGTAGAAGTGACGGACTTACTGGAAACAATGCCAGAAGAAAACCCCTACGATACATTAAAACGGCCATAATTAAACGAACTGGAATTTCGAATGAGACAATACTGCGCGATTTGTTTACCCTGAGTGGAACTAGGTGACCGAACTCCTTCCCAGTTATTAAGACATATGAAAACTCTGTTAGGTACTAATGTCATGGCAGAAAATATTCTACGGAGATTGTAGTTGGACAAACTACCCAACACAATGACGCATATTTTAGCACCCATGGCAGAGGAAACTGAACTGGAAAAACGTGCGGATTCTGCTGACCGGATCCATGTTGGTTTTAGAGACAGGGAGGTGAACACATTGACACAGCAATGTACAAACCAACAACAAAACGAACAAATTGAGAAACTGCAAGCAACGGTTGAAAGTTTAGCTAAACAGATGCAGTCTATCTTGAAACTGCATCAACAACAACGAACTTCTCGTAATACTACCAGACCTAAGTACAGACGAAGGAGTAACAGCAGGAGTTTCAGCAATGATAGAGGAAGACGAAAATTCGACATCTGCTACTATCATTATAAATTTGGTTCAGAGGCAAGACGCTGTTTGAAACCTTGTGCCTTTTGTAGACCCGGCACCGGAAAACTTAAATTCCAGGCAGTAGAGACGACGACTGTTGCTGCACTGTCACAAAAAGGTCGTCTGTTTTATATCCTTGATAGAAATCACGGATATAATTTTTAATAGACACCGAGCCGAAGTGGGTGTTTTACCGCCGGATCCAAAGCAAAATTTAAGACCAGGACTCTACAAACTCCAAGCTGCTAACGGTACAAAATTGATACCTTTGGCGAGAAAGCAGTAACCATCGACCTGTGTATGCGGCGAAATTTTCTGTGGTTTTACTCAAGCTAATGTCACCACACCAATATTAGGTGCAGACTTTCTAGCTAAATTTAATTTATCGGTTAACATGACCACTTATTCCTTAGTTGACAATCTGACAGAACTTTCTGTGAGAGGAATTTGCTCCCGATACCAGTCAACTGGAATTAGTTCTGCCTTACCACAAGTTAGCGGTATTAAAGAATTAATACAGAAATACGCGAAATCATTCAACCTTTTAAAAACACAGACACAATTAAGCACAATGCCAAACACTACATAAAAACAACAGGACAACCGGTACACTCTACACCGATATGATTAAAACCGGACAAATATAAAATAGCCAAGGCAGAGTTTCAGCAAATGCTACAGTTGGGAATCATACGTCCTTCCAAGAGCGCATGGTCATCACCATTGC